GTCACCTGCCCGTTGGCGCCAGAGTCACGGTCGGACACGCTGATCAGCGCAATGACAGTACTAGGCTGAGTGTCCTCTCGTACTGCTAGAGACAGAGAAGTCACGGTGACTTCAGGAGCATTATCATTGGCGTCTAATATATCTACCCAGACTGTACAGTGACCGGCCATTGGGGGATTCCCTTTATCTGTGGCCTGTACTTCAATTTCATAAAACTTGTTTTCCTCATAATCTAAAGTTCCATTGACTCTCACTTCTCCATTATTTTCATCTAGTGTAAATAAGAGCTTTCCATTGGGCTTAATTGACATCAAGGAATAGGTTACCTCCCCATTGACTCCTTCATCTCGATCTGTGGCGTTTAGCTTTATCACAAAAGTTTCTTTAGCTGCATTTTCCATCAATCTCACCTTGTATTCTGATTGCTCAAATTCCGGATCATTGTCGTTAATATCCAAGACTTGGACGAAAAGCTGAAGGGTGCCAGTGAGCTCTGGTTTTCCCCCGTCTGCAGCAGTCAGTAGCAAATTAAGTTCTGGAGTTTTCTCTCGATCCAGATATTTTTTTAATGTAAGCGACAGTCTTTTAGTCTGCTTACTATGTGTTGGTAATTCTAAAGAAAAATACTCATTTTGACTTAGTCTGTAGGTCAATAGAGCATTCTCTCCTATATCCGCATCAGAAGCTCCCTCTAGAGGAAAATGAGAGTCGGGTTGCTTAGATTCAGAAATCAGCAGCTTTTGTTCTCTGAGAGAGAACACAGGTGGATTGTCATTAATATCCTTTACTTCCACTTCCACATGGAAAACCTGCAGCGGCCTGTCCACGATCACCTCCAGGTGGATGCCGCACTCTGCGCTCTGCCCGCACAGCTCCTCCCGGTCGATCCGAGAATTCACAAACAAAATGCCATTCTGCAGATTTACCTCCAGAAGGTCCCCGCGGCCTTTGGACGCCACCCGGAAAAGGCGCGGCACCAGCTCCGCCAGCTCCAGCCCTAGGTCTTGCGCGATGCGGCCCACGAAGGTGCCGTGTTTGGCCTCCTCCGGGACCGAGTAGTGGACCTGACCACTCCCGGCCTCCCAGACTGTGAGGAGGAGAAGCGACAGCAGCAGACGCCGAGTGCCCAATCCCCTCCTTTGAGAGCCGAACATCGCATACGACACTGACTTCCAAAATAAAGTTCTTTGCACTTACAGTACCAGAGACTCCAGTTTGGAGTTAAAAATCTAGCTGAATTTTTGAGAAGTTTCAAAGAATCATTTAACAGTAACGTTCGGCATGATGGAGTCGTTTTTGTATGGGGCGTTCCTGGCTGTTCAGACCAACCCTTGAAACAACTATTTCCACCAAGTAAAGAGCGACACCTTGCGCCTGAATAGTGAGTACTGTACACTACATCGTACACTACAGAATTTTACTTAAAGAGAAAAATATAATTAACTTCAAGTGTCCTTTTATTTTATCCTCAAAATAATATTTCCAAAGTGCTTATTGAGGAAACATTTGTAGCATAAGTCATATTGAAAGCAATGGTATGCGGAAAATGACATTTTATTCTTAATATAAAATTGAAATTTTTGTTCCTATATTTGATTTAGAGTTATACAATTGTTCTTTATCTACATAATACACACAGAGTTTAGTTCTACACGTAGCCTTATGAAAAACTAGGGTTAAACATTTCCTAAAGATATTGCTTCTCATATTAAAATGTTATCAAATTTGAATTGTTTTATTTCTTTTTTTTAATTGAGAGCCTAGTATGTATCAAGTCACCTTTATTTTTTTTAAGATTTTATTTATTTATTTGAGAGAGAGACAGACATAGAGAGAGAGCACAAGCAGGGAAGAGAGGGAGAAGCAGGCTCCCCACAGAGCAGGTAGCCCAGTGTGGGACTAGATCCCAGGACCCTGGGATCATGACCTGAGCCAAAGGCAGACGCTTAACTGACTGAGCCACCCAGGCACCCTGAATTGTCTCATTTCTAATCTCTTTGGTTACTTTGGATGCTAGGAAACTCAAAGACAAACTTGAGGTTTTAATAACTCTTTAGTCTTTAAGTTCTGTATGTTGTGTTCTTATCTCTATGTACTTGCCTTCTATTCATATCTATTTTCTTTAGTTCCAATTCTTTTTTGTTATTTACATTTAATTGCATTTTTTAAAAGTGATTTATAAGTGTTATTAGGACATGTACTTTTTTTTAAAGATTTATTTATTTATTTATTTATTTATTGGAGAGAGAGAATGAGATAGAGAGAAAAAAACATGAGAGGGGGGAGGGTCAGAGGGAGAAGCAGACTCCCTGCTGAACAGGGAGTCCGATGTGGAACTCGATCCCGGGACTCTAGGATCATGACCTGAGCCGAAGGCAGTTGCCTAACCAACTGTTGCATTTTTGTTACAAGCAATCTTATATCCATTGGAAAACAAAAATATGTTTTCAAATTTAGTGTTTAAAACAGAATTCACAATGGAAAAGTCTATGGATGTAGATGAAATTTATATCTGACACACATGATTTATCAGGGAAGTTACATTGCTAACTATAATATGAGGTATCAAAATGACCCTTTATGTGATGGTGTCAGTGATATGGAAGAAGCTGTCTTTCAATTATAAAATAAATTTTATTATAATTCAATGAAATAAATAAAAGTCACCATGAAACTGTGTATGCCATATTGGTATTTCTAAGTCACTAACATTGGTTTTTGTGTATCTGTCAAGATATATTCATGAAAATAGCTGACTTATTTTTTTTTCCTTCATTCACTTAACAAATGCTTATTAAGCATCTCTGAATACCAGGCACAGGAGAGGACCAGACAAAGAGACAATACCGTTGATAGGAAATTTCATTAGAGAGGGCATAGCTTGAGCATGGAAGCCTTAAGCATCACATTAAAGAACTGGACTTGATCTTGGGGGCACTGGGGAGCCACTGGATATGCTGGACTAAAAGAGTAAGGTAAGACTTAAGAGAGCTGAGACTGGCCAGGTATGCAAAGTGGATTGAAGGGGAGAAGACCAGAGCCAGGAGACCAGCAGGGAGCTGTTATAGCATTCTAGGTGTGACATGAGGTAGGCTAGCACATAGCAGAGCTCCCAGCACACAGTGGGCACTCAATAAATGGTTGAATGACCTGTTTCTTGTTGAAAGAATTCTGGGTTTGAGATCATAAGTTCATCCAAAACAAGGGAAAGGATTTCTAATTATACCTCCTCTAAATGCATACTACTGTGCTAAACACACACACACACACACACACATAATAATTCAACCAAATGGCAAATGACTTTAATGTTTGTGTAAATTCAATTTCATAAAATACCAAGGAGAAAATGGGAATTGTTGATATGAGTTATCATTGCCTGAAGATGTAACTTGGTTATATGTCTTTGTCTTTTCATATAGCCTTGGATTTAAGGGTTTGAAAAGAGGATCTAATGGAAGTTTAAAGTAGAAAATGATTTAGAATAAATATCACTCTAGCTTGAGTATTTTGTTGTATGATTGATGATCCGTCTCCAATTTAAAAATATTGAAATGGCACATGAAAAAATTACTAGTATACTTATTTGTATGTTAGTATTTTTCTTTATCTAGAATACACACATACTATTGCTAATTTCAGACTTGTTTCATTTTTTTCAAATTTACTCTTCCCCATATTATCATCCTGCTAGGACTCTTAGTAAATGCAAAATTCTTTCTTAAAAAACTAATAAAGCAAGCAGACTTGTCACTTTTTATAACATGGAATTATCTTATGGATCTGTGAAACAATCAGTTATAAGGGCCTCTAATCAAAATATAACATTAGACTATATTAACAGCAGACTTAACCTACTATCTGAAGCCTGTTAGATTTATTTTAGAGAAAAAGGAAGCAAGAGATCTCCAACCACTTCATTATAGACATTGGGGATTGAGATGGTACACACAATATGGAATCCTCAAACATAGAGAGATGAACATCAGAAAGTTTACCCAAGGTAGACAGATGTTAATTTAGCAATTACTTTCCAGTAATATGGTATTTTTTGAGTATATGAAAAGACACTGGATGAACACCAAGTCACAAAAGAGTTTGATATATTGTATAAACCAATGACCCCTCTTTTGCATTTTAGCTATGATATTTTAGATATCACCATCTCAACTAATCCATATAAAAGAGATTATGCTATCTTCGAACTCATTTGGGGGGATAAGCTTGAGATCTGGAAATAAGCTAATGCCAAGAAGTTCACATCAATATCGTTATTAACATTGATTTTGTAAAACTGATTGAAAACTGAAGAACTTTGCGCCTGACCTTTACTAAACCAATCTGGTTAGTCTTTCTTTAAGATTTATTTATTTATTTGAGAGAGAGAGAGCACACAGAGGGAAGGACAGAGGCAGAGAATCTCAAGCAGACTCCCCGCTGAGCATGAAGCCCAAGGTGGGGTTCCACCAGAGGCTCCATGAGAGGCCCCATGAAGGGCTGGATTCCATGACCATGGGATCACAACCCCAGATGAAACCAAGAGTTAGACGCTCAACAGACTCAGCCACCCAGGTATCCCAATCTGGTTAGTCTTAAGTTTCTACTATGTCTTGCTGGTCATATATTAGAGTGCTTGGTTTAATGTTCTATTAGTCCTCATCATCCCCTAATACAGCATAACAGGTCTAGTAATATTATTGTTGAAAACATAAAACAGAGAAACAAATCTTGAAACCATTCTTGGAAACCCAGGAGGTTCTTCAAAATCAATAGATTAGAAATACTATCCAACATTGTATTAACAAAATTATAGGATATACTCATTGATTTTCACTCTTTGCTATCATGGCTTATTGAAGTATACACAGTTATTTCATCACAGATCATTTGTTCAGTCAGCACAAATCTCACAGACACAAAAAGACTGAATTCTGAAATACCAACACACATTCAAAGATTTTCATGGGAGGGACACCTGGGTGGTTCAGTCGGTTAAGCATCTGCCTTCGGCTTAGGTCATGATCCCAGGGATCATGGGATCAAGTCCCACATCAGGCTCCTTGCTCAGCAGGGAGCCTGCTTCTCCCTCTGCCTGTCACTCCCCCTGCTTGTGCGTGCTCTCTGTCTCTCTCTCTGACAAAGAAATTAAAATCTTTTTTAAAAAAGATTTTCATGGGAAATATACACCTTTTAAGCTGTTATTGAAGTATGCAATTTTGGAAACACTTATTGAATCCTTTGCTGATATCCAGGATCCTGGAAATAATCATATTACCACTTATATTTGTCCAAAACATTATCCTTATTCACAACATAAAAAGGACAGGGTCATTTTCATATCTGTCATTTGGCTTTGGTGTTCTGCTAGAACATTGCAGACCCCAGTCTTCTGGGTTTTCCCATATATTAAAATGATTCTTCTTAACTTAGATTACTTCCAAACAATGGATACCTAGTCCCTACAATGGCAACTCTTCATTACCTACATTACCTACATTACATTGAATGATGTAAAGACCTATCTCAATGTGGCATTGCAACAAATGATAATGATGCTCATGAACTCTTCTGAGAAAAAAAAATCACTTAACATAAAAAAATCTCAATTATGGCATTGCACAAAATTAACTATGAAGATAATCATGGTTTTTTCTTAAGCAAAACAGAAAGAATGGGCTTGATTTTCCTAGCCATAACTATGCCTGATTAGAGAAAAAATTTACTGTAGAAAACTCTACAGTGATAAAAGAATGGCTTTAGAATCTAAAAGATATACATTTGAGTATCATTTTTACCATGTACTAGCTGGATGGCAGTAGACAAGCTAGAAAAATATCTTACCATCTCTTAGTTCATCATTAAAATTTGGATAGTCACATGTGTTTTATAAGTTGTTATAAGGATTAAATTAAATTACGTATTTTAAGTCCTTCACACAATGTTCTAATAAACAGAAACAGTTCATAAAGTAGTGGTTTATTTGTAATTAGTGTTAGTTCTTGTTCTACTTTGTAGCTATGGATGAAGAGATTTTCAGTATAATAAATTAGGGCCTGGTTTTTCCTTTTCAGAAGATTTCCTAATGTTCATCTTCATGGAAATCATCCTTTTGTGGGTAGAAAATGGCGACTAATGCCTCCTCAGCATTTCTAGT